AGTTCAGAGACTGACACTTCCACTGAGCCACAGTGCGACCACTTCCATCACAAACTTGACTGTGCTGGCAAAAAGTCACAGCTGAAGTAACATCTCTTCCCGATGGCATTCAATTCAAGCTGGCCTCGACGCCTCTGATTTATTTCAGAATGTGTAATGAATGTCCAGCAAAACTAATTATTCTGTTTATGGTTTCTCCGCTCTGATTTGTTTTGTATTCTGTATGCGGGACTTTCTGAATGATTGTGTTGGTGGATGCTCTTGAAATGAAATCTGCCACAGACCAAACACTGACTCTACATGAAGTAATCAGGCCTATTGTTGCTGGATCGGCTCCTACAGACAAAACCAGGTGTGTTTCAAAGACAAAAACATACACCTTTCATTTTTCCCAGCATGACCTTTGGGTGTTTTGGACAAAAATGATTCACAGAACAAATATGTTATTTTTCTCTGGTAACATTAAGAGCAGAACAAACTCACTGACAGCCCACTCTTCAAGAGGAAACATTCCTCTTCCTTCCTGTTGTTTTTCTCCCGCTCTCACTGCCGCCATTACTCTTCCCTGAACTCGTCTTTTCATTACAGCGAGTTCAGTGCCGCTGATATACCATCAAATACTTCAGCCTTGCAGATAATGCAGCATTTACCCGCCTCAACAATTAATTCTTGTGACATCTGAGAACATTAATATTCATTACCCGGCACCACTCGTGACGGACCGCCGCCCCCTCACGCTGAAGATACGATATCGAGATGGTGTTGAAATACGCCGTGGTGTATGTGTTGTTTTTTTTAAGGGCACTGAAATGATTAATCGTCATTTGTCTGTTTGGTTATGATGGTGTGCTGTTCAAGGTCTCTGAGGTCTCTGCCTGTGTGAAATGTGTTTACAGTTCTGCGTGTTTGTGTTGGGTGAGTGTGTTTAATGTCTGGCTGTGCAGAGTCAATCACAGACAACCCAGAACAGAGAAGGAGGACGTCTTAATACCTTCTTTATGGTTTCAAGCTCAAGTTTTACATTTATTTTTGAAGGATGTATGTATAAATAAAAATGCCCATGTAAAACTTAAAGGTCCAATCCGTCAGAAATGACCTTACCATCCTTGTTTGGACCAGAGAAGGTAGGCGGTTTTAAGGCCCCCCCACATGGCCATTTTGGACGCCCCTCGGTTTGCCAGATATGAGACCAGTTATCAGGTCAAACCAACAGGTGTTGCAGCGATGGAAGCGGGCAAGAGAACTGTTTCAGATAGAAGTGATTGTACCCGACCTAAAAAGCCTCTGCATGTTTCTAATAAGCTCCACGAGCAGAAACATGCTCAAACTAAGATCAATATTGGAGATGCTTTTAAAAAATGGAGAGAGGTTAGAAGGCAGAAAGGTTTACAGACCGATGCAGAGCTGGATAAACACTGAAGCTTCAGTGTCCACCACATGGCAACCTGTGTGAGCATGGACTCTAAAGAGGAGGGGGCGGGGGGAGACACCTCTCTATGTTTTGAATCTGGACTGCAGTACCAACTTTATTTTACAACTTGTTTTGGTTCCCACTGTTGGACTTATTTCATCATTTTATTTCATCATTTTATTGCATCAGCTATGTGGCTGTCTGTTTCCTTTAGTCAGAATTCGCAGGCAGCCAATCACATAAAGGATGACAAGTTGAATTATGAAATGAAAGGTCAATATGAAATGTGTCTTGTTGAATACAAATGGACAGGCATGAATGGCCTGCAGTCATGTTTTAATAAGCAGAATGAAATAACATGTCAAAATAATGAATCTCGTTTTTCAGCATTTATTCAATTAATTCTCAAACATGAATTAAACTTTCTGTATTTATTTGATCTTCTTATGCTGAACTCTTTGGCTCTCAGTACGAGGATTAACGAATACATGACCCTGGATGCAAGATAACTCATTAAGATATTAGCTTCAAGTAAAACACTCATTTAGGATGGGAAAAGATGTTAGGAAAATTAAAATAAATCTAAATCAAATTTCCTTTCATTAGTTACAAAAACCGAGCTCTATGCTGTGTTCTTTCCCGTTCATTAGTTTTCTATTGATATTTCAGCAAACATAAAAAGGGTATTGTGACGTGTCTTTCCTTCAAAGTGCAATTAACTAAATGGTTATTGAACTCAGGATGCTCAAGGTTCCCACGGCACATGAACGCCCCACAGTTAATATCCTTGATCAAGTTGTAAAGAGTCTGATTCAATCATGACCATTTTTGTCTTTATATCAAAGTGTATCAGTGCTTCATATACAGTAGTTTGACCTATTCATGACATCAACAAAACAGAGGAGAACAAACAGAAAACATAATGAAGCAGATTTTTTACTAGCATGGTGATCGTATTGGGCAAATAAAGTCTGTAGATGCAGGATATAAACGTCATCACTCCCCACCACTCGCTTGTAGTACATTTTCCTGATTATTCCCTGCTGCATTCTCACGTCAGCTCGTCCCAATCTCATCCTGAAATTTACTTTGGGGGGGCTAGCAGGAAAAAGTCGGAGTGAAAAATTTGCCTCCTTTGCGTTCACACATGCAGCTCGCTCCGGGTTTTTGCACCATAGCTGTTAAAGAGGACACACTGCAGCGCGGATTAGCACAGTGGAAGCTCGAGTGCAAATTGCTCCACTTAACGGTTTGACTTTTGAGTGTCAGGTTAGTAACTCTGTGGGATGTGAGACCGAACGCTGCCAGGTGTGAAGCTCTTAAAACAACATAAAGAGAAGCATGTGGCCCACATGAGGGTAAATATACATCATTAAGTGCTCGTTTTCTCGCCTACTTTTGAACTCATCAGAAGAATACAGTGAACATTTATGAGCTGAAATCACTGGACCTGACAATTGGCTTTTTATAAAACATGATAGAAACACTTAGTTGTTTTTTTCTGAGCCATAAAATAAGACGTTTTCACCTGAAGTGACCTTTAAAGTAAGACCGTGAAGAGGTCAGACTGCACAAATGGGTCACGGCACATGATGAGCTTCAGAAAATGTGCTCTTCATTTAAATACTTGTGGAACATTGTGCTGAGTTGAAATTAATCCCAGAGCGCGACGTGTTCTCAATGTGTTTCCAATTCCTCCTCCATTGTTGCAGTTAAAGGGGAAGACTTTCATTGGGCCAATTCATGACATAATTACAGGCGGCTTAGAGAGCATTACAGCGGAGGGGAGACAGGGAACGAGGCAGAGTCCCTGCACAGCAGATAAAATCATTAAAAAATTATCTGCAGCTGCTTCCCGTCTCTGCTGGAAGTTGCAATAAGTTTGTGTTGACTTTCCTCAACATGTTTTTAAGCAGAAGGTCCACAGAGGATAAGGATCTGTAATGGCAGACACCTGCACAAGATGATGGGATTTAGAGAGCCACCTGTTTGCAACGAGATGGATATCAACACAGCAAAGGGGTAATTAAAAATGGTATAAAAAGGCAAATGCAAAGTACATATTCCAATAACAGGGAAGGAGGCGTGATGTCAGAGGCAAACGGTTGTAGAAGTAGCAACATTTTCGCAAACTGCTTCAAACAAACAAGTTTAAAAAAAAAACGTTGTGTGAAGAAAAGAAGGATGGATGAAAAGGGAAATATTACAGCCTTCCTTCCCCGAGAACTCTGCGGCTCTTTGTGGTGTCAGTGAAAGTGGCTTGTACAAATTGCAACCCATTCAGAAAGTCTCTCACTAAAAGCATTCACAAAGCTGCCCTCCGTTTTTTCTTTTTTGCAAACAACACAATAACTGACAAAAGTAGTTGTTCAAGGAAAAAAGTAGGAGCTTGACAAGAAGTTTTTTTGAGGAGGTCAAAATCTGACAGCAACACTTCAAACGTAGAAAGAAAAACTTTATCTTGAGAAAAAAAAGTTTCAGTTTGTGGCCTTGGTGATCATAATTCATCGTGTTATGACCCAGTCTACGGTCGCGGATCGATGCATTTTTGGTCTCAGAAGAAAGTTTGTTCCTAATACAACAAGTTTTGACGTTGGCAGAAATTGGAGAGCCCAAGGCGTCATGGTCTCGGCTGTGCCTTCTCCTCATTCCTTGTGTTTCTGTGTATTTCCAATGTGTTCCCTCCCCTGTGTGTGTGTTGTTGTTTCCCTGTTTGTTTCTGTTTGTGTCTGGGCGTGGCACTCAATCACACTCCTGCTGCTCACCTGTAACCCATGAACTCATGAAGCTCCTGCAGTATATATACCTGGCTCCACTCTTTGTCTGATTGTTCAGTTCACCTCGTGGTGCATCTTATTCTAAAGTTTTGGATCGCATGTTTTTTTTGATCTGCCCAACTAACTTTGGCTCTCCCTGTCTCACCTTGAAAAGCCTACAGTTCTGACAGGATTGAACAACTTTGGAAGGTTAGCTTCAATCATTTAATTGGTTTAATTATGAGATAAGAGCTGAAGTGAAAAAAAGTACTAACATCGATGCTTCAGTCTAACCTTTTCAGTCTAATGCTTGGGCTTAACAAGTACGGACCACAGAAGCAGTGTTGCATTTAAAAGGCTGTGATAATTCTTGGATTCTCCCTTTTTCTACCTGCAAAACAACTCTGCTACTATTGAAAGTAGAATGTGTTGGCATGGCAATCTTAAAGGTGTAATATGAAGAATTTTAAACAAAAAAAAAATCGACATTAATTAACCAAACCTATAAGTATATTCCTCATTCCTCTAATGTCTGACTGATCTGTTTGTCCTGCAGAGATCTCCCAACTCGACAAATTTAATAAGTGAGCTCTAAGTTGGCAGACAGACATTCTATGAGCGGCCAACACAGGGTTTGATATAATCAACTCTGAGCCCGTCCAACTCCTGAAGTGATTTTGTGTTGTGTTCAGCAAATCTAAAAAAGCCCAAAAAAAGGTGGGGGCATTTGTTGGGTCCAACGTGCACTCTGAGCGGAGGAGAAGCAGCTATGTAAAGAGAACAACAAAGCGTGTGCGTTTGGGAATGTGCAGCACGAAGGGAAAAACACAAACCTTTCCTGTCCGTGCCGTTGGGGATCTGCGAGGTGTTGATGCCCTTGGCGATCTCCTGGTTGGCGGTGTCCTTGGTGACCGCTGAGCCTTTGAGCTTACTCTTCGGAGCGTCCAGGGCTTTTAGCTTCTTGGCATGTTTGGTCCCCTTGTAGTGGGCCAAGGCCTGGCTCTGAAAGGAGAACAAATAAAAGGCTTGATTTAACGCTGGGAAAATCAGCTAAACAAGCCGAGCCCGGATGAAAGAAAATATGAAAACTAAAGGAACACGGTCAGAGTCAATGAAGCAGACGAAACACAATTAGAAAGGGACGGTTGATACACATTGTAGCCCAGCAGAAAAGTGCCAACCTCTGACTGTGGTTTTGCCACTTCTGAGAAAAAAAATTGATCCCTCAGAAATGAGAAACACTCAGATGATTGGTTTGCAAAGTAGTTCAAATCCTCTATTTTCTGGATTTGTGGAGAGAATAACCCCCAAATCAGCTATTCCATTTCATCCAAATGCTTTTAAATGAGTGAACTCAGCATTTTGGAGTTCAGAATTATTCCTTCTTCCGAAGAGGTTTGCAAATTTGCCCACTTATCAATCTTTTTCTCTTGTTTCCAGCCCCTGAAAAGCTGAGCAGATTTCAAGTTTCCCCAGCAATTCAAACCGTAAAAGGTTGATTATGAAATGACCATGCCGTGCGAATATGAAGCCCCTTTCTTTATTAACAAATATAAAACCAGGATGGCAGTGATGGAGAATCACCCGTGAAGTGTTATTTGAGGGACGGCAGATTTGCTTTAGAGTCTGAACACGTAGTGCCACCAGGATTCACCTTCACAGCAGATTCAGCCCGGCGCACAGAAGTGGGACATATGCAAAGACTTTGAGCTGTCCTTGTTTACCTCTGCAGACTTCTCTGCACACCTCGCCTGTGGCGGGGGGGAAGGTATCAGGAGAGATGCGATTGCCTCTCGGAATAAATAAGTGCACCAAACACGCATCGCCCCCTAGGAAATTTGTAAGCCTCTTTATTTATGGGTCGCAGAGGGGGTATTCACTAAACACTGCTGGGACAAAGAGACCATTCTGTGCATTAACACGACCAAAAATAGATCCTGTTCTGTTCTCTTTCTGTTATTAGCAGAGATAGAGGCTAAACATAATTTATGATTGTATTTTAGGACAGTTGTTGATCTGTTCTGTGCATAGGAATATATTTTTCTGACAACTTTGTAATTTCTTAACACATTTAATTTACTCAATCAATCTTGATACGACAGTTTTTGAAGCGACAAGAGCCGTTTACAATGAAGTCATACAGCGGCCCACTTCCTGGTTTGAGCACTGTTTGGGCACACTACCTGAGTACGGTACATTTGTGTTCACACTGATAAAATTAACCGGACTTAGTTGTCAAGGGCATATATGTTTTTAAGAAGAGTGCTTCATAGACTATTTGACGTATTGTTTTTTCTTGTCACATGTTCATTTCCCACTGAAAACAGCTCCACAGCCCACTTTTGGTTCCCGACCCACCAGTTCAAAAACCACTGGCTTACTGGCCAAAGCTGATATTCTTTCTTTCTTTCTTTCTTTCTTTCTTAATCCTCTGTTTGTATCTTTAATTTGATCTTCTTTTTGGGCTTCATTTGCTGATTTAATAACTTATTTTGCTGTAATCTTATGTGTAGCTTTTCCAGACACAGGGGAGCCATATGGATTTAAGCGATACCGCTAATATTTCTCATGTTATCAAAACAATTTCCCAACCCGAACACTTTCCATATTAATTGATTGAACCCAAATATCTCATGAAGTTCTGTAAGCTCTGCTCAGAATCAGCCAATAAAGAATCATTAAGTGGGCTTTTTTTTCCTTACGTACTGAACACATTTAAAGCTGCTGTGATGAGTTTTTAACTGGTAATGAAACAGACTCAAATTAATAATGATGCATCTGTAGGACCCGCAAAAGCAAATGAGACTACTAGCAAGAAGATTGATTTTTCTTTATTGTTATTTTTGACGCCTGTAACTGCTGCTGCAGGGGTAGGTGGCAGATGAAGTGATTAACTGCATGCTGCTTAATGGAATGTTTTATTTTGTTCAGAGGAAGAGTTTCTTGCTGAGTAGTAAGTTCAACTATTAAGAGTAAGCAGGAAGGGACTTGCTGTAGCCAGTCCTCATGGCTAAATTAGCAACGAGATAACATGTACAGCTTTGACCACAGGGGGTGCCAAAATCAACACAAATGAAACGTTCATCTCAGGAGCTTAAATTTGAAGTTTTTGATTTTATTCTTGTGACATACATAAATGTATATGCTCAGCCAGGACAAGCTTACATTACACCATGAATTAAAGCCTTCCAGGATGTCTCTTCATTGTCGTTGGACAGAAAAAGAAAGCAAAAGGAAGATAAACTCTCATTAAACAGAATATCTTGTCTTCTTTTCCCAGCTTTTGAGACAAAAAGTTTTTGCACATCTGTCCACCCCGATATTTCAGGGTTTTTTGGGGCTTTTTTGAGCCTTTATTGGAGAAATAAGACACTTCAGGCCGCCCGCCCGCCTGAAGGACCACAGCCTCTGCACATGGGGCGAGCGCACCAACCACTGCAGCACCGTCACCCCAATAATTAATGTTTTTGACGAGCTATTTCATGCTGAATATTCTCATGTTTATCAGTCTTATTCTAAACAAACACCTGTACTTGTACTTCGGTAAACTGGTTCAAGAGTTTGTTGACTTGGCAGAGATCGGATTGTTTTTGTTCTTTAATGATGAACTTGAAGGCTTTTTGTTTGGGAAACATGCCCCTTAAATTTACATAATTTCCTTACAGCATTGATTTTGCACCTAAAAGTCTCAGACAAGTTAATAAAACAAGACAAGTAAAGAGGTTTCATTATACGAGGAGAATAAAGTTACCAAAATGCATGGTTCATGAAGCAAGCCAAGCCATGGTTTGGCAAAGGTTGTGAAATTGCTTTGGTGCCCTGAATGTTTTTTCCTTTCATTCTTATACCTTTTTTTTTTGGATGATGTGTCCCTTTCTCAAATACTGCACATCTTGTTTTTGCATGAAACTATTCATTCTGACCTCACATTCATCACTCTCCAGGTACCGCAGACATAACTTGTTCCTTCTGTCACAGGGCTCAGGTGATACGGATGGTTGTTTAATGTGACTACGCCAATAACTCATCTTTCATTAGAAGCAATGAAGTGGAAGGATGACCTGAACTCCAAAGTCTGACACATGCATGATTAAAAGTGGGGAGGAAATCATTTGTTTTCCCTCCAGGTGATCTGTGAAGGGGAAAAGACATCAAACTAACCAGAGACAGGAAGTGTTTGGGGGATTTAGGGAGGCTGTCTGGAAACCAAAAGGTCACAGTTTGAATCTCACTCTATGCATCAACGGACAGAGAACTTAAAAAAGTATGCCATACTCCCATTGTCCACACAGCCCATCTAATCAATCAACTTCTTACTTTGTGTGCATAACATTTTCAACATTAGGCTATTTAATTTGAATACTGCCTTTGTCCCAGGATACATGCACCAAAGGAGAATCGATATCGGCGCCCATCAAAGCATTGTAATCGTATATTTAACTGCCGGCTTCATTGTTTATGTGAGGCTGTTTAAATTGTTGTTGTTGTAAATGTATTCTTGTGTCTTTTATATTGATTGTAAGTATGGCTGCCAGTTGTTTGCACAGAAACTTTACCCATTCTTCTGCCTGTCTTGGGTTTTTTCTCCTGGTTAAATAATAAAAAATACATTATACCAAGTTCCATGAGTTACAAGAAGAAATGTCATGCTGTTACTCTAAGCAGCACAGTTTCTTGCTGGTTGAACATATCCACCGTAAATTTGCTCTGAAAACTCTTGAGATCTTTTTCTTGCTTTCTAGTGAAATCTACAAAGTTTCCTTAAAGGGCGTGTCTGTGGCAGGGGAACCAATTTCAGTTTCAACACCATATCTGGTTACAACTGGATTTTGTGTTTTATCCAATCCTTACCAGATTTACTTGGAAGGATCAGGGATCACGAGAAGGAGGTTGGGTTACGAAAACTACCAAATGTATCTCTACATTTATTAGTTCATCTGTACACTACATTAATACGATCTCGCTAAATTAAGCTGATGGATGCTACTTGGGTTTTGTAAGTTTTCACCTTTTCTCCAAACCATTTGATATCCAGTCGAAACATTTTGAATAACTAACTGCTGCTGTGTTTGGGAAGTTCACACTATTTGTGTACAAGTAACAAGTAACAAGTCACACCCTTGGATGCCAGTATTTCACAGTTTCTGGATGACAGGGCAAAACTTGTGAACACTTTTCCAAACCCCCTCAGGTCAGGTATTCATTGTGTTGTGCTATCAACAAGGTGATCCCTACCCACCTCACCCCATGGGTTAAATTCCCGCCCACTGTGACAGGAACATTCATTTATTAAGGCCTCATTCGACTTGAAGCGGGGAAGGGAGGACAACAATGCCGGCCATCAAGATCATCAAATACCTGCTTTTCTTCTTTAACTTGTTATTCTTCCTCGCTGGCATTGCATCAGGAACCACAGGGCAGACTACCAGATCACTGACAACCTCCTCCCCGCAGTCGACCTCTTGATATACGTTGGTGTTGTGATTATGTTTTTTGGCTTCTTCGGCTCTTATGGAGCCATCCATGACAGCAGTTGCCTGCTGTCTTTGTTCTTTGTTGGTCTGCTCACAATGTTCCTCATGCTGGTGGCTGTGGTAGCGTTGGGAGCCTTTGCGAGAACTACGGAAGCCCAGGAGGCGGTGGAGGAACACGTGCAGCAGTTTATCCCGCTGGGTGCCCAGCCTAAGGTCATCCAGAAGTCTTTCAAGGAAGTGGAGAGGAAAGGCTTCTGTTGTGGTATGTTTGTCGGACATCTCGACTGGGGAAATTCATCGCTGATGCCAGAGTCCTGTAACTGCAAAGACACGACCAGAAACTGCACGGTTTTGGAGGGACGCGAGATCTACTCCACGCCGTGTATGGTGTACGTGATGACGTGGATGGACAGGCTGTCAGTCTCCGTCATTAGGGTGGCTTCTAGGTTTGGTGCCTTGATGATCATTGGTTTTCTCTTTAGTGCTGTTTTGTCACAACAAGTTTGGGAAGAATAGTGTCATATGAAC